ACAACACGTGCCTGGGGCAGAGGGAACAGCTATTGTGAGGTCTGGTGGGAATTTGGGAAAAGCAGCAGAGTTAAGGAAACCTTTCCTGTTTTCTGTCTGGTCTGATCTGTTTGTCCCAGTTCCTGCACTAAGCAGCATCCCCCGTGTCCCAGTCCAGTACCAAGAAGAAAACCAGTGTGGAGAGAGCTGCTGAGCTTTCTGCACCCATCCACAGCTCCAGTCTAGAGCAGACTGACCTTCTACCGGGTGTGAAAGCCACAGCTCTGTGCTCAGCAGGCTGTTTTGAATTTACGGCTTGCAGATCGAGGGGGCACTCGCCCTTTCCCCAGTGGCACCTTCCAACAACTCAGTTCCAGGAATCACCCAACATTTACATCCTCAATGGGCTTGAGAGAAGGCTGAAGTGTCTTGCAAAACCGTGCCAATTTAATGATTTTAAAGCCAGGCAGATACATGTTGGATCTTGGCCATACATTGTAGGGAATTGTAGTAAAATCAATTAGTAGGAATAAGGCTGCTGTGATTAATGAGCTAATGAGTGATGCTTGAATGGAAATGGCTCTAAGAGAGCTGCAAGGTTGGATTCCTGAAGCATTATTCATAGGGATAGACTGGATTCGGGCTTGGCATTGTTTATATTCCTCCTTTGCTTTTTCAGGTTTCTGTTTAACTTTAAGGATGCTCCTCATCAATGGAGGAAATGGAGGAGGGCAATGATATCTGTTTAATTCCTCCCTTTTTGGTGTGAAGTAGCTCTCATCTCTGGAGAATTGTGGTTTCTGTGAGAGATAGATGGGGACACGATGCATCAGAGGTGCAGTTCATGTTGGAGCGTGTTCAGAGGAGGGTCACAAGGATGATCCAAGGGCTGGAGCACCTCTGCTACAAGGACAGGCTGCAGGAGCTGGGATTGTTCAGTCTGGAGAAGAGAAGACTTCGGGGGGACCTAATAGCTGCCTTCCAATACCTGAAGGGAACCTACAGGAAGGCTGGGGAGGGACTTTTTACAAGAGTGTCCACTGTTAGGACAAGGGGAAATGGGTTTAAGATGAAGGAGGATAGATTTAGATTAGATTTTAGGAAGAAATTTTTCAGTATGAAGGCGGCAAGACCTTGGAATAAATTGCCCAGAGATGTTGTGGCTGCCCCCTCCCTGGAGGTGTTCAAGGCCAAGTTGGACGGAGCCTTGAGTAGCCTGATCTAGTTGAGGGGCGTCCCTGCCCAGGACAGGGAGGTTGGACTAGATGATCTCTAAGGTCCCTTCCAGCCTAGGCCATTCTAGGACTCTCTGATTCTATGGTAATTTAATCCCCGGCACTCTGCACACCAGCAGGTTTACTGATTAGAGTCACCCGTCCTTTCTGCTGGCTTCCTTCAGAGGTTTTCATCACTGATGCTACTTCAAAGCTTCTAGGGGAAAACTGTGAATTGCTTGAACAAATCTCTTTAGCCTTTCTAATACAGAGATTATATTGTAGTTATGATCAAGCCTACAACATGCGCTGACTTAATAATATCGACAATGGAGAAACAGAGGTTAATTTTCCAAGGTCAGTTAGTGAATCATTGACAGAGTTTAAAATAAACCTTTAAGTATGTGGCTTTCAGGTCAGCCCTCACTCCTGTTGCTTCTACTAACTCAGGCACCTCCAGTCAGGGCTGCACAGAAATAGCCGAGAAGCAGTGATAAGAAAGGAGCATTAACTAGTGGTTAAACCACATGGAATACGATGCTGACTTTATTTGTGAATTGGCTACTACCTTGCTCCATCAGCCTAATTAAGCTCTCTGCATCTCACCTTCACAGAATCATAGAGTCTTTTAGGTTGGAAAAGGTCTTTGAGATCATCCAGTCCGATAGATAACCCAGCAATGCCAGATCCACCACTAAACCATGTTTGTTAAGCACCACATGTACAGGTCTTTTAAATACCTCCAGGGATGGTGACTCCACCACTTCCTGGGCAGCCTGTTCCAATATTTGATACTCCTTTCAGTAAAGGATTTTGTCCTAACACCTAGTCTGAACCTCCCTTGGTGCAACTTGAGGCCATTCCCTCTTGTGCTATCACTTGTTGCTTGGTGAGCAGACTGATCTCCACCTCTCTACAACCTCATTTCTGGTAGTTGTAGAGAGTGATAAGGTCTTTCCTCAGCCTCCTTTTCTTCAGACTGAACAACCTCAGCTCCTTCAGCTGCTCCTCATTAGACTTTTTCTCCAGACCCTTCATCAGTTTCATTGCTCTTCTTTGGACGTGTTCCATCACCTCACATATAAGCTTCCTTATATCTGATTCTGAGATAATAATATTTACTCACCTTATAGGCATGTTTTTGGGTTTAACCTATTTGTAGGTGTGCAGCAATAGCTTAGCAATAACGTGTAACACTGTTACTCTTCCACATCTACCTTTGAATCCAGTCATAGCTTTTACTTCTGCAACTATCTGCTCTGGGAAAGTGGAATTCCTAGGAGATCTATTAAGAGCTGATTAGAATGAAGAAAATGGACAGTTTGAAATGATGTAGTCAAGAAGGCTCTCAATCGAAACCAGCACCTGCTCTTTTCTGTTCCCACGGTCCTTGAAACTCTACACTGGAGGTGGATTGGCATATTTTAGGACTTTCCAGCAGCACCTCTCCTCCCTGATCATTAGAGTAACATGAGCCAGGCTTTTGGGAGATTACGGGGTTGGATTTGGAGACTATTTCCAATATGGGTGCACCTATTGCAGGGCTGTTTGTATCAGATGAAGATGCTTCCACTCAGAGATTGTCCCAGCTGGCCATGTAGGACAGGAAAAGTGTTTGACACAGGTTTCTCAGGCTGATAGTATATATTTGACTCCAAAATTTCCTTTTGTTTATTATGACAAACTCCTCTGAAATGCAGAGGGTTCTTGTGCTACTTTGCCTTTGAACACACACACACACACACACACACACACACACGCGAAAACATATTTTCTTTTTTTTTTTTTTAAAATCCTTCCTGTGGGTTGTTGAGGCAGATTTATGCAGTTTGTGTCTTTTTATTTTTATTTTTTTTTCTCTGCAGTTAATGGAAAACCCCTGACACAATAGGCTGTGATTACCCACAACACAAGAAAATGAGTTCCACAAAAAGCTGTTTGCATATTCCTATTAGGTCTTATTATTTCTTTAGTGACTTGCCAACACTGCAAGGCAATTGCATGGGGTGTGCATAAAAGAGGAAACATTTCAGGCAATGCTTAAAGACTCAGATAAGATCAACTGAAACTATAAACAAGTCAGGTATGTTGTCACCACCACCACCCCCCTTAAATAACCCTCCAAACTGAAGGAGGGTGCAGGATTTGAGCAGGGTGTTGGCATATATACTTCCATCCAAAGCCTTGCGATGTATTGAAGATCAGATTTCAGATGTGCATGTGAAACCAACCGTCTAGCACACCTTGTTTAAAGCTATTTAATGCCAGAAACTAGAAACAACACACCTTTCCATGTTCAGTTGTGTGCTTCTCTTTTTTCATAAGAACAAAGCAAACACCATCAGTGTATTTCCCCTTTCTTAATAGGATTATGAAGTTCTCTGCTGAACACGAGGAATGCCAAATCAAGAATATACCAAAA